GTGCTCTCTGCCCGCAGCAGAGGCCCCGCCGGGGATGCTGCCGCGGGTGAGTCCCCGGGGAGGGTCCCCCGGGGTGAGCCTGGGGGGGGAAGAGGCGCCTGGTTCGACTGCTTGGAGTCCAGGGGTTTTACACCTTCCTCGCTGGTACCCGGGGTGGGCAGGGCTGGGAGGGAGCTGGGCCGGGGGGGGTGGTCGGTGCATCCGTGCTCCTTCCTCGCGGGGTAGGTGGGGAGCTGAATCATCACTCGGTTGCTGGTGAAAAGGGAAGCGACGCTTTAGGTTCCTGGAGCTGTTGTGATCATCAGGAACCACTGCTGAGTGTTTGGGCCCAAGGTGAAGCAATCCTCCAGCGAGCTGGACCTGCTAAAATCCAGATCTCACAAGCTTACCCAAACCTAAGGGTACCGACCCTTCTGATTTCTTATTTTTTCATGTTGTTTTTTTTTCTCTGTTTGCCTTTTTTTGTTCAGGTTCCCTCTGAAGGATTCGAAGCGCCTGATTCAGTGGCTAAAAGCTGTTCAGAGGGACAACTGGACTCCCACCAAGTACTCCTTTCTTTGCAGTGAGCATTTCACCAAAGACAGCTTTTCCAAGCGCCTGGAAGACCAGCACAGGCTGCTGAAACCCACTGCTGTCCCCACCATCTTCCAGCTCGCCGAGACAAAACACGACAACCTGGATTATGTCAGAAGCAGGAGAAAAATAGCCAGCCAGGTGCCGCTGCAGGATGGGGAAGACCCAAGGGAAGGAGGCTGTGAGGTAGTTCAGAGGACCCCTTCTCCTGGCCAGGACTTCATGGTGATGCAAGGGACGGAAGAGATGGAGGAGGCAACTTTGCAAGAGGAGATGGGATCCACGTCTGAGGAGGAGGAGGAGGAAGAGAACCTCCACAGCCAACTGGACAGCCCACAGAGAAGGACGTTAGGTGATAAGTTGGTTGCAAAGCCTGGACTTCAGAAAAAGCCTGAGAGGTCTTCTGTGGAGGACTGTCCCAAAGCCAGCTGGATGGGGAGCTGGGTGGCAGACAGAAGCGGCGTGTCCGTCGACGACTTCACGCCTCCTGCCTCTGGTGCTTGCAAGTTCATCGGCTCCCTTCATTCCTACAGCTTTTCCTCCAAGCATGCCAGAGAGAGGCCATCTTTCCCAAAAGACCAGCTAGAAAGGAAAAGGCCAAAGAGAGACGTGGAACCAAGCTGCAGCAGCCACCTTCTGGGCCACGAGAAGGTGGTCGTGGAGGGCTCCCCGACTTCCTCCCTCACCGCCACCCCTCAGAAACCTTCCCAGGGCTTGTCAGCTTCCCCAGCAGACCTCACCCCTCAGCCTGCTGCCGAGGCTGTGGTGGGACAGAAGGGTGACACGGATGCCAACCCCATGTCCATCAATGAAGTCATCATGTCAGCCTCAGGAGCTTGCAAGCTGATCGACTCCCTCCACTCGTACTGTTTCTCCTCCCGGCAGAGCAAAAGCCAAGTGTGCTGCTTGAGGGAGCAGGTGGAGAAGAAGAATGGGGAGCTGAAACTTCTGAGGCAGAGGATCAGCCGCTCTGACAGTCAAGTCAGGAAGCTGAAGGAGAAGCTAGATGAGCTGAAGAGGATCGGTTTCCCTTACTTGAACAGCCTGCTGTCCCAGGACTGTGGTCAGTATTTCCAGGGGCTTTGCCTTGAGATGGACTTGGCTGTTGTCTTAGCACCGAGAGGATGTTGGAGTTAGGGATCAGAAGGATATGGTGGGTAAAGAGATAAGAAAGGTCCTTTTTTCTGGAAGGAGAAGGGATTAGATTGAGAGGACAAGGGGGATGGATGAAAACTGGAAGAGGGGAGGTTGAGGTGAGACATGAGGAGGAAATTCTTGAGTGTGAGGGTGGTGAGACATTGGCCCAGGTTGCCCAGGGAAGCTGTGGAAGCTTGTGTTAGACCAACAGACAGAGGGGAAATAATTAGGTTTTGGGGCACATCAGCTGTTTTTTATAACCCAAAAGTTTCCAAGGTGATTCCTGTTGCGGACTGGGACATTACATCATGGTGGTGCAGGCAGCTCTTTTGAGGTTTTTTATATTTCCCCCCTTCCTGCATTATTTTAACTTGTTTGTGACCCTGTTAGGATTTGCCTTCCTTTGGAGTGTGCCTGTGAATTTTTGTTGTGTGTCCATGTGCTGTGATGGGCAGCAGGTATCTGGGAAAGCTGTTAAAGTCTTCTCCAGTGATGGAAAAAGTACTTCTGGTCTCAGCTTTCATATACTCAGTATTTGGAATATATTAGATCTAAGTGAAGTGGTAGGTGTAAAATATGACAGTCATGATACACAAGAGGGGAGGTTGAGGTGAGACATGAGGAGGAAATTCTTGAGTGTGAGGGTGGTGAGACATTGGCCCAGGTTGCCCAGGGAAGCTGTGGAAGCTTGTGTTAGACCAACAGACAGAGGGGAAATAATTAGGTTTTGGGGCACATCAGCTGTTTTTTATAACCCAAAAGTTTCCAAGGTGATTCCTGTTGCGGACTGGGACATTACATCATGGTGGTGCAGGCAGCTCTTTTGAGGTTTTTTATATTTCCCCCCTTCCTGCATTATTTTAACTTGTTTGTGACCCTGTTAGGATTTGCCTTCCTTTGGAGTGTGCCTGTGAATTTTTGTTGTGTGTCCATGTGCTGTGATGGGCAGCAGGTATCTGGGAAAGCTGTTAAAGTCTTCTCCAGTGATGGAAAAAGTACTTCTGGTCTCAGCTTTCATATACTCAGTATTTGGAATATATTAGATCTAAGTGAAGTGGTAGGTGTAAAATATGACAGTCATGATACACAGTGAGGTTGCATTTTGTGACTGAACTGTGTTTGGTTTTATCAGTCCTTCCTCTGGAAGGCAGAAAACAGATGATAAAGTGGGAACAGATGAGGAATGACTTATCTATCAATTAAGGAAAACAATCAAGACATCAGAAAATGGAGGGGAACTCGGTGAAGGACAAGGTCAGGTCAAAAGGTGGTCGAATAGGGCTCTTAAGTCTTTTTCTTGCAAGAAAAATCCTCCTTTAATGTAGAGCTGCTAAAACTTGGGCACAATGTATCTAGTTGCAAGATACAGTTCAGGGGAAGAGCTGCGGAGCATCTAAGGGTGTTTGATGTTGGTGTGGCTGCTGGGAAAATGTTGAGTTACCTTGTGAAGGATGCATGACTTGGGGCTTTCTTGAAGTTGCCTGTGGATGGTTGAGTGTCTTCTGATAATAATTCTCACATTTCTTCGCCTTCTAAAGCCATGTAGCATTAGATATGGTCAGAAAGCCTTTTTACAAGGGATTAGATTGAGAGGACAAGGGGGAATGGAGAAAAACTGGAAGAGGGGAGATTGAGGTGAGACATGAGGAAGGAATTGTAGAGTGTGAGGGTGGTGAGAGCCTGGCCCAGGTTGCCCAGGGAAGCTGTGGCTGCCCCATCCCTGGCAGTGTTGAAGGGCAGGTTGGATGGGGCTTGGAGCAGCCTGGGCTGGTGGGAGGTGTCCCTGCCCATGCAGGGGGTTGGAGCTGGATGATCTTGAAGGTCCCTTCCAACCCAGCCCATTCCATGATGCTATGAAACATGGGAACAGACATGTTCTCCAGACTATCCCATCATGACCAACTTCCTCACTCAAATCAAGAAAATCAACCCCAACAAAATCCTTGAAGTTTCATGTCCAACCCTACCTTCCCCATGTGCTCTTCATTTTCCAAAGTATGGGAAAAGTCATACTTTGATTTGGGTAGAGGGACACAAAAGAATGTTTTTTCCCCCTATGGGAAATCAACCTAGTCTTGTAACTTCTGGTCTGTATCTTTCTATTGTTTTGGTGTCAAGCTAAAGAAAAAAACTAAATATAATTTTTAGGGTTCTATAATTGCTATACATATGATAAGAACTATGATTACTTTTTTTCTCTCCTGAGATGGATGTTCTTATCCATATGTTTGAGAGCCTCAGAGTATATAGAGCCATGCTGTGACATTAGGAATACCTTCTATAAGAACATAAATATTATATATTCTGCTTTCTAAGGGAAAATGTACCTTTTAAAATGAATTGACCAACCTGTCTCTTACCAACAAAACTGGAGATCAAGACGAGAAAGCAAACCAATTCAGGGATTGTAGTTTGCTGTGGTGGGAAGTTCTTATGGAACCTTTTGACTGGTGATCTTTTGCAGGATTTCCTTGGTGGCTGGCTGGTTGTTTTGTTGTTTACTGTTGGGTTTTTTTCCCTTTTTTAGCTGAATTTTGCACCTCCTCTGCCTTGGGTGCTCACAGTAATAGTTTATGGCAGCCAAAATACCTGATCCAGTGCAGCTGGTTGTTGCTGGGCAGGGTCTGGTTTATGCCTAGACACTAAATCTGAATGTGATGCAAAGTTAAGTTGAAAAAAGGGCTTTTTGATATTTTACAGTCAGGTAACTTATTAGGTTAATAATAACAGTAGTTTTTGTTAGTAGCTGCAATTCAGTTCTGCTCCTCATCTGGTGTGCAGTGGAGGTGATGCTATTAGCTCTGAACCTGAGCCTGCATATTTTTCCCTTCCAGAGGCTGTGCCTTGGGGATGGGGAGTGTAAGTAAAGCAACTGACTGGACAGACTGTGCAGGTTGTTTCATGTCTGCATATTCCATATGGAGTGGGACTGGGGGATTTGGAAGAGGTCCCATATTGTGTGGGACCTCTCTTGGCTGCTCTGTGATGATGTCCAGCTGCTCCCCCAAAACCCTAGGCAGAAAAATGAGCTTGAGACCCACACCCACTAAGCAGATCTTCATTTTGGTGGTAGTTCTCAACTGATATTTTTCTCCAGTGAGACAAATTTCTATACTGGCTGTATCCAAACTCCCAACTGGCTGGAAAGAGCAAGTCCCTGAGGACTTGAGGTGACTCAGGCTGGGTGAGTTTGGCTCTCAAGGAGCTTGGTCTGTCACCCTGCACTCAAGTGGTGTTTCCCAACCTGTCTTAACAGGAGGATCGACCAACTGGTTTCTAGAGGAAGCCCTGGGCTGTTCCCTGCACAGCTGCCACAGTGACCTTTTCCATCTACACTTTGAATTTGCTTGCTTGGTTGGTAGGAAAATGTTTCCTTCTCTTTCCGAGATCCATGGAGCAAAGGCTGAGGAGCAGCAGAGGACTGTGGTTAGGCATGATGCACCAGGCAGAACAAGGTTAGATGCATCTTCTGGAGAATGGCAGGATGCAATGAGAGAAATTAGGGAGAAATTAAGATGGATGCAGTGTGCTGGGAAAAGAGGAGACTGTTCCCACAGCCCTGTCCTCTGATACACAACGACTATCTAATCATTTTGTCCTGCTTGGAAGTTTCACAGCTCTGCTGCATCATCCTCCCCCAGTACTAGGACACACAGGAGCTGCTCCTTGCACAAGGTCACCTCGTCTTAACATGCTCAAGTTTGGTCCTTTTGTCAAACTACATCTCCCAGCAGGCACTGGGATGGATGTCCTACCTACTCATGAGATCACTTCCCTCATGGCCATCTTCTCAGGCCTGCACTGGAGGGCACTTTCTGGAGAGCCAAGGTGGTTAGAGAGCTCATGCAAGGCAGAGAGACAACTCTGCAGACTATGGCTGACAGTGGAGCAAACACAGGTATGATTCCTTGGGATTGAAGTCTATGTTGAGCAGGGAGATAAAAATCCAGCTGCTTGATTGTGAAGCCTCTTCCAAACTCCCATGTCTGCTCCCATCAAGGTTATATTAAAGGCAGGAGAGTTTGAAAAATGGGTCCATAAGGAAAATTATTAGAATTTTGCTAAGGATCTGTAGGAAATGATCTTTTCTTCCAGCTTAAGCTTGTTTTTCAGTATTTGTATAAAGCCAGCTTAGAAGTGCCACTGTTTGTAATACTCCTTCCATGGGAATGAAGCATAATTGGTGAACTCTTGGGACAAAGAGGAGGAGTTGAACATTTTCAATGTCTGGGTTTGTGCTGGGATGGAGTCGTGGTGTCTGGCCTGAGGTGCTTTTTCCCTTTGAGGTGGCAAAATGGGTTTTTGTTCCTGCTGCAGGAAAGAAACAAAAAATCAGGTTCCTCAGTGAGAAGTGAGCTTGTGTCCTTCCACGTGTCGGACCAGGACTTGAACAGCAACAGGTCGCTGTCTGGTGTAGCTTGAAAATGAAACACTTCTCATGGATTGCAGAGATGGGTTGTCAGAAAAATTGCTTGTACCAGGGCAGTCACTGCTAACCTGGCAACTGCATGTTAACTTGGAGCTAGATTTTGGAAGAAACATGCTTTTATTTTGAGATGGAAGGTGCTGCTTTTTATTTCTTTTCCTCCCAGGGATGGGAAACCTGGGTCAGTGGAGGAAGTGGTTGTCACAAAGATCAAGTGGGCTATAAAAGCAAGCTAAGAGTGAGATAAGGGGAAGGAATATGTGTGCATAGGTTAGGAGCAGGGCTGAATCTGTGGCAAAAGGCATCACATCAGGGCTTGGGTGGGACCTCACAGCACCTGTGGCCCGAGCACATGCTGCTTTGTGCTCCCCATGGAAGCAACCAGCATGGTTGATCAGGGAGGTGGCTCTTTCACTACCCTCTGGGAGAAAAAGTCAGTTGGAAGGGGAGAACCAAAACTTTTTGCTCCACTTTTTCATGCTTATTTTTTCCCCCAGTGGAATGGTCTTGTTTTTTTTCTAGGTTTTTTCCCAATAGCCTACACAGCTTGTGCATTAAGCATTTAATTGTGCAGGGAGCTGGCAATGACTCACAACAGGGGAAAAAACCAGCTTGCAACTTAGGGAGCAATGAAAATGCTAACTCAGGGAAACCTGAGAGAAAGTAAAACCCAGTGAGGTAAGCTCAGGTAGGAGATGTGGGTTTCTCATAGTAGTGTAGAATTTAAACCATGTTTTCTCTGTGTTTTGTGGTCCAGGAGAAGGCTGATGGTGACTACAGGCACTGAAGCATTTTGCCACAGAGGTTAGAATAAGAGGTAAAACCACATTGGGCATGAAATTAATTACTAAGATAGGCTGTCAAATGAACATTGGTGAATATAACCACTTACCCAGCTTGTAGAGCAGAGCTATAGCTAGAGCATGTCAGTACTGGGAGTGCTTTACTGGTTTCCTGGGTGGAGCACCAGCAAAGTGCAACACTTGGGGCAGGGCAGCAGAGTACAAAGCCACTTTCTATACTTAAATATGGAAAAAATATGCTGAAAAAGGCTGCTGCTTAATTACCAGAACCTTGATTATGATGGTTTAAATCCAAAGTGACTCAGCTGAAGAAAGGACTTGGGAGGATTCTTGGAGATGGAGAAAGTGCTGCATGAGTTGGTTTGGTTTTTGTTTGGGGTGGGGTTTTTTGGTTTTGTTTTGGTATTTTTCCTTAAGTTTCCTGCAGTAAGTATTGCCCAGCTTGGGACAGCCAGGTTAGCTGCCTTGTTAGCCACCAGCTGGCTGCTCAGGCTGCAGTTCTGCTGATAAAGCTGAGTAGGAATTTGTGCCAGCTTCGCTTTCCGTGCCAGGGATTCCACTTGACAGCCAGGCTGGCTGAAGCCTGTGTAGACATGGCCCCAGGGGCTTGTCCAGCTGCTTTGTCTGGTTTGTCTCATGGCAGGGAGAGCTGCAGAGCATGGACAGGGAGGGATTTGACCTGTAAACCCTCCATGAATGGGAAAGAGGCAGAAAGAGCCCAGCCCACCTGCGAGTTGGGAGGGATGAAGTGGGGTCAGAGGGTGAAATGGAGCTGACTTGTGTGGCCAGGACCCAGGCCTGGCAGTTGTGGCCTGAGTGGCTTCCTGAAGACAAAAGATCTCAGTGATCAGGTTGCTTGTATGCGTGTGGTTTTCTGTCTCCCAGGGTGTTGCAGCTTGTGAGGATGGTGGCTCATGTCAGTCTGGTTAAGGACTTGCTGGGTCCTTAACAGCTTCAAGGAGGTGTATCATCTGGTAGGGGAAAGTGACTCCAGGAATGTCCTTGTTGAGAAATAGGCTGTAGTGTAGTGTGAGCTTCCCTGTTGTTAGATAAAAGAGCAACTCTGCAAGGGGATGCAAGAGAACCAACATTAAGAGGACCCCTTTTGATGCTGGAGCTTTAAACATAGCAGCTCAGCCCTACACGGCCACTTGCTCCCTCCCCCTGGTGGGATGGGGAGGGGATTGGAAGGGTCAAAGTGAGAAAACTCCTGGGTTGACATCAAGACAGTTTAATAGGTAAAGCAGAAGCTGCACATGCAAGCAAAACTGGTTCCCAGTGCAGACATGTATTGGACCTGCTCCAGGAGAGCAGGGCTCCATCACACCCAACAGTTCCTTGGGAAGAGATAAAACTGCTTAAAACTGGAAGAGGGGAGATTGAGGTAAGACATGAGGAGGAAATTCTTTAGTGTGAGGGTGGTGAGACAATGGAACAGGTTGATGAACTCAACCAGCCTCTCTGCTGGTTGCCAAGGAGAGAAAAGGGGCTTAGTCCACTAGTCAGAGCCCAAAACTAGAGGTAAGAAGGGCACAGCATAGGGGTGTGATCAGGATGTGTCTGCTCTGCTGCACTTTTGTGAGGCTCTGGTCCTTGTTCCACCAGCAATTCTGTTCCTTTCAGCTTTTCCAAAAGCTCCTATTGGCTTTGCTGCCATCCTGGTGGTTTGGAAAAGTGATAATGGTTGCTTGAGCATGTTGTTTGTCCAAATGGTGTAGACTTCGGGGTATCCAGTTACATCTTCACTGCCTGCTCAGTCACCTGAATCATTGTGGTTGGAAGGCACCTGCACCCACAGCAAGGCAGTGGGGTGAAGCTCTGGGTGCTGTGAGCCATCAGTTGGCTCCTCTTGGTTTATCACCAGGTCTAAAGAGTGGAAATGACTAAAGCAATTTCTTTCATCTCTCATTTTTCTACTTGTCCCTGAAATGCTGTAAGGTTGGTAAGCAGAAGGGGGTGAAGTGCCCTGTTAGGAACACTCAGTTGACAGCATCTTGCTCCTGGGCTTGTTGCCTCCTCCTGACCCAGGAGAGGGCAGCAGCAGCCCAGGCTATGGCCTCTTCTAGCCTTTCCAAAGCTTTGCTCTTCCCTTCCGCGGTGGGAGGGAGTTTGAGCCTGCAAAATGCTTGGAAAGAAACTCAGTGTGTGCAGCAGCAAGTGGAAGGCAAATACCAGTTTGGAGGTGGCAGCAATACTGCCCTTCTGCACCAAAGTGCACGTTCTCAGCATGAAAACAGGAAGGGAAACTGATTCCTAAGAAGCAGTGTAGAAGTGTGGGGTTTCTTGTAGCTTCTCTTACCAGTTTTAAGCTCTTTGCTGCACCAGGAAATAATGTTCTGTTGCTTTGGTTGCTCACAGTAGGGGTGGAAGGTAAGTACAAGGGAATACTGTCTGGTACCCTGACACTGCTGTGTGGATCTTAGGAACCCCTTCTCAGCACCCTGGGCAGACTGGTGGAGAATGCCCAGGCTGCCAGGATGGGCTTGGCAAAGGCTGGCTCTGATGCAGAGATTTTTATCACCTATTTCCTAGTGAGCTCTCATGTTTCCTCATGTTGCTTCACTTGCAAAATACTTCAGGATAAAGAGGAGTAATTAGTATCTTGTTGCCATGCTGGCTGGCTTTCTAGAAGAAAGGGAATGAATAACAGAAGTGGGAATTCTCTTTTACCCAGGAAAATGCATCTTCCCCCTCCTTTGATGTTCCAGGTGTGGACTCTGTTCTTCATCCTCACTCAGTGTCTTTAGCCTGACTTTTGGGGTTAAACAAAGTGAAACTCAGACTGGTCGAGCAAGTTATTTTTCCAGAGCATCACCTTTTTGAGGTCATAATTTGTCCCTGCAGCTGAGTCCCTGCCTTTTAGACCAGCTGGACAGATTGCTTGGCCTTGCATTAGATGATACCATGACGTGTTGAAAACAACCCTCCTCAGCCTGCCAGAGTCAATTATCACCTGAGTGGGAGGAGGACATGCTTTGAGGAGACTTCAGCCATACTTGTCTGCATAACACAGAGCAATGGGCACCTCACTTCTGTTGGGATTGCTCTTCCCTGAGGTCCCATGAGTGCTTTATTCCTTTCCCTTCTTCCGTCTTGGGAATGGATCTGCTTTGCCCTTCATTTGTGGCTTTAGATTGGCTGTCTCCATTTCTCTGGTTGATATTTTTCCCAGGTCACACCCCCTGAAATCACAGCAGAAAGCAAAACCTGTTTATCAAAGCTTTTCTAAAAAGATCCATTAGAGAAGATTTTCTTGCCTTTGTGAAGCAGACCTTGGTTGCCTCAATAAATGCAGCAAGGGGAGTAGCTTTCTCTTCCATTTATACTTTTAACATGCAGACACCCTCATCTTTTTAAAGCATGTCACCCTCAATCCAGAGCCTCAGCAGAACAGCTTCTAAACCATCTCTGTCTCTCTTTGTGCAAGTGCAGGTCATTGTTAACCTCTCAAAAAAACCCCAACACTTTACAGCCATGTTTTCATCTTGAATGCTTTTCTTTTTTCCTCTGAAGTGGGGACTCCTTGGTCTCTGGAACAGGCAGGAGCAGTCCATGCTTGAGAAAATCATGCCAAATATGTAATTTAATTTAAAGATTTCATTATCACTGAGTGAGAATTCCTTATACTGAGGTTTTGGTCTCCTTCCCTGCTTGTAGATTGGAGGGAGGTTTCACTTTAGGTCAAGCTACAGAGAGGAGTCAGCAATGGTCCACTTGGAAGAGTTCTCTGTGTCAGGCCAAGGGCAAATTTGAAACCAGAGCTGCCTTCCATGACTGTTCCTTGTTCCCTAGCTCCTTGGAGCTGACCCTTCTCCAGGGAAAAGCTGCACTGGACCATTTTTGAGGTGGTTTGTGTTCATCTCCACCCAGCTGTAGGCAGCTCACACCCAGCTGCAGAGCACAGATCCCCAAATTTACTTTCCTTCTCCTTCCTCCAGAAACTCCCCAGCTGAATCCTGTGATGGAGCCCCTGTCCTGGATGCTGGGCACCTGGCTCTCAGACCCACCAGGAGATGGCACCTTCCCTACCATGAAGCCCTTCCAGTACCTGGAAGAAGTGCACATCTCTCACGTGGGGCAGCCCATGCTGAACTTCTCGTAAGTCTCGGGGTTTGGCTGCAGCTTTTGGATCAGGTTGTGTTTCTTTTCCAGTGGCAAAGTAAACAAGTTTTCACCTACCAGCTGAAACATTGCAATGATAATGTAACTGCATGGGGTGACTTGAGTTTTCCTTTAAAACTTGTCATTTAAGTGGCAGCCAGAGTTGCACACCAGCAGTCACTGCAGATGCGCTAGCTCAAGGGTACAGGGCACTTCTGCAGAGTTTCTGACAAGTGGAGAACTTTCTTCAACCTGGAGAAGGCTCTGGGGAGACCTTGTAGCTGCCTTTCAGTGCCTGAAGGGGCTTCAGGAAAGCTGGGGAGGGACTTGGGACAAGGGCAGGGAGGGAGAGGACAAGGGGGGTGGATGAATACTGGAAGAGGGGAGATTGAGGTGAGACATTAGGAGGAAATTATTCGCTGTGAGGGTGGTGAGAGCCTGGCCCAGGTTGCCCAGGGAAGCTGTGGCTGCCCCATCCCTGGCAGTGTTGAAGGGCAGGTTGGATGGGGCTTGGAGCAACCTGGGCTGCTGGGAGGTGTCCCTGCCCATGCACGAGGGTTAGATCTGGGTGATCTTGAAGGTCCTTCCAACCCAAACCACTCTGTGATTCTATGAAGTGAGCACCTCTGAGCTCATGCAGAGCTCACACTGCAGGATCAGGCCTGTGGCCTGCCAGCCTGGAGGGTTACACAGAGAGATAATACTGCAGGCAATGCTGGTTAAATAAAATCCCATTTCCTCCAAGATGAAACCAGGTCCAACACTGGTTTGAGTGTAACAAACAGCAGCTTTTGTGTTCTGATTCCCCCTCAGGTTCAATGCCTTCCATCCTGACACCAGGAAGCCCATGCACCGAGAGTGTGGCTTCATCCGCCTCAAACCTGACACTAACAAGGTGGCCTTCATCAGTGCCCAGAACACAGGTACACACATGTCCCTGCTGAGGAAAAGAGGAGGTTCTGACCTTGCTGTGCCCTTCCATCAGTTGCCCAGGAAATGTTTGCACCTCTCACCATTTCGTTTCATCAATTTTCTTCACTGGGAATTCAGCGTCAAAAAGTGATGCTGACAACACAGTGGGGAAATAAATCAATACATGAGTTTGTGCCCAAAGCACTGAGTTTCTAGGACTGGCTAGGTGGCCTTGCCAGGACAGTGTGGCTTTCTGGGACAGGAGAGGACTGCAAGTAGAAATACTGCTCGTGTAGTGGACTCGAGGGGTGTCCTTTCCTCAGGTGGTGTTTGCAGACACTTTGTAAACCAAAAGAACTAATGCTTCTGTGAAAGAATTGCCATCTGAGCCATAATGATGGCAGGTGGTGAGTGGCCAGTGGCATTCCTTCTGCCTTCCTGGCATCCTGGTCTGTTTTTGTGGAGAGGCAGGAGGAACATGTACAGATAAGATGCCTTGTTCATGCTGCTCGTGTGAGTTGGCCACAGTTGCCCCTGTGCTAGAAAGAGAGGTGTGTGTCATGGTTCATGAGCTCCTGGGTCTGGAGTCCTCCTTTAGTCTCATATTTGGCCAGCTTCTCCTTCTAAGGTGGAACAGATTTAACATCCCACTTAAACTCTTATTCCTGATGTCAACTCTTGCTGTGTTGGATTCTGTGGTCTAAGGTGGCCCTGGGAAGGTGTGGCTGGGGTGGGTTTTAAACCCCCCTTTGCTACCTCTCCACCAGGGCATGTTTGGTGTGACCCATCTAGGAGGTTTTCTGTCAAGAGACCCTGCCTGGGCTGTGGCACCATGAAGAGCCTCTGCAGCTCCAACAGGAGGGGGGGACCTTCTCTCCTCTTGTGCCCTCAACAACCTCAAAGAGCAATCTCAGTGCAGTCTTTCGTAGCTTCTAAACCAGGAGCATCTCTCACTGTCTAGCTGTGGTGCCTTGGTTCTTGTTACACAGCTTCCAGGGTTGGAAAGAGGGAGGGAACTGCATCAAAATTCTTGTTAGGGAGTTAAAACCCATTTGATGCTTAAAGTTGCATCTAAAACTTATGGGCTGAAGGGAAAACTCCCAGTTGGAAGGCCACACTTATTGTGACATGGTTAATGAACCTTTGTAGCCTAATTGTATTTATGACCTTGCTTCTTGCTAGGTCTGGTGGAGGTGGAGGAAGGAGAGGTGAATGGACAAGAGCTGTCTATAGCTTCTCACTCCATAGCCAGGATCTCCTTTGCCAAGAAGCCCCACGTAGAGCAGGTGAGTGAATGGCTCACAGCATGTGCACCTAGAAGGTGGCTAATTGAGAAGACAGGTTAATTAGCCTGCTCTCATGATAGATGGCCATCAGGAGTCCTTGGAAATACTTGTTTGTTTTCTACATCCTTGTTTATCCTCTCTGTAACAGCCATCAGGAGATACTTCCTACATTCTAAGGCACAGAGGGATTGTTAAGATAAGAACTGCTGTGCTGAATCACACCAGCCAACCCAGAATCCTGTCTCCAGCAGTGGCCAATAGCAGGTCCTTAGGGAAGAGAGTAGGAAAGTCTTGTCTAAATAGCCTTGTACAGCAGTTACTTCTTAATGCTGAGCTGCTGCGTTCATTCCAGGGTGAGAGTATGTCCAGTAAGGGATGTCCAGTATGGGGCCTCCTCAGGATATTTTAGGAATGCCTGCCTTTCACTGGAGCTCCACCTTGTCTTTGCACATCTTGCTTGCTGCTCAGGGCATTCACAAGTTTCTCTGGCCTCTTTCCCCATCTGTGGCTGTTTGGCAGGGCTGGCACTTGCTGTGGGGGGTGTCCCTGCCCATCTTTAAGGTCCCTTCCAACCCAAACCGTTCTGTGATGCCACCAGTTGAGCCCTCTCGATGGAGCCACTCAGGCTGGGTGTGTGGTGACCTGCAGAGAGCCCCAGTGGTTTTGAAGTCTCCCTTGGGGACATCATCTAGCATCTCCCTGGGCCACCAGCCAGGAGCCACCTTTCTGGTTTGCCTGTCCATGCTGAGGTGATGGCAGTAGGAGTACCAGGATGCTGCCTTGCTCCATGGATAATGATCTTGGAGCTGGTATTTTGGAAAGGGCTGCCTTCTTTAGGAGAGGACTTCTCCTTGGCTTGTGGGGTTGTAGTGAGCCTGTCCTTCCATCCATGGTGTGCTGACAGCAAGCACCAGGATGGCAAAGGGAAGGCAGGAAGCTCAGGTGAGAAACTGAGCCTGTGGATGCTGTTTGCTTGATGTTTTTTTTTTTTATGTCATTTCTCATCCCCCTCTTTGTTTAGATCACCAGAAAATTCAGGCTTAATTCCGATGGGAAACTTGAACAAACTGTCTCCATGGCAACCACTACACAGCCCATGACCCAGCACCTCCACATCACCTACAAGAAGGTGACTCCCTGACGCCAGGAGGGCTGGGTGTCCCTGCTGAGGGTTAGGAGCAGCTGGGGGGCACAGCAAGGCAGCCCCTGGAACTGGCTGCCTGTGCTGGTCCCCAGGGCTGTGGGGCTGCCCGTCCTGTTGAGAATGTTACTCAGATGTTTATGTAATGGTATATTAAAGAAAAAAAAAAAAAAAGAAATAAAAAGCTTTTATTTTTAAGGCTGTGTCTTTGGGCATGTCTGTGTGTCCTGCGTGTCCCTCTGGCCTGGCAGTGGGTACAGAGGGGCTGTTTTGGCTTCCTTACCCACCCTCCTGGACCCTTCTCTGCATCCTGAAGAACACACAGAAGCAGCAGGATCAGGAATGGATTTGCTGTGCAGGGACAACCCCTGAGAACTCCAGCTCCTGCCTAAAGGAGCTTGGTTTAAATATTTGGAGGGAGCACCTGCCTCTTGCTGTGGGACCAAGACCTGCTGTGGGACCTGATCCTGATGGTGCTGTCTAGCTGACTTGAGAGGACTTGGATCAGGATCAGACCTTACCTAGCTCCAGTGCAGAGTGTCACAAGAATGTGGGTGACAATTGTGAGCCAACAGACCTTAGGGAAGGTCTGAAGAGTGGGATGGATCTGGGCAGTTCTTTGTTCTGACACAGGAGTCGTGATGCAGCTTCTGACCATCGTGATGTCTCATCCAGTCCCTCAGCAAGGAGGGAGGCAAAGGTCCAGCACTGCTTCTGGTCTACAGCAGAGGTAAGAGATGGTTCTGCTCTGTTTCTCCACTGATTGGTTCCAAAGGCTTTCTGTGGTGGGTGTGTGACTCTAGAGAAGGCCTTGGTGCTGACATTTCTTGCTCACAAGCTCTCTCTGCCAACCACTGTGCAGAACCTCTACACGAGGCCACAAGGGGTCTAATTTCCACCTGTAACTTCCTCCAGAACCCAAGACCTTTGGTCAAAGGGATTGAAAACCTTTGTGGTTTTGGAACAGTCTGCTCTGGTAGCAGCTCTGAGCTTCATGCTGGTGTCCTCAGTGTATTTCCAGGGAGCACAAAATGTCCTGGGCCAAGTTCCTTCATGCTCTTACCTTATTCCTCCTGCTGCCACAAATGGATTGTAGCTTGCCAGGATTTTCTTTCAGGGTTTAGCTGGGCTTTTAGGAGGAACATGGAGAACTGCCCCAGCAGGCTGGCTCCACATGGTCCCATCAGGCCACCGTGGTTTTGGCATATGCAGAAGTGAAATAAAAGCAGAGTCTCCAGAGATCCAGCCAGCCGAGAGGGGATGAACATTCCCATTAATGTGTAATTAATGTGCAGCTCTGGCTACAGTTCTCTTGGCAGTGCAGCGTTAATTACAACTTGGGTGTAAAGCCTTGCACATGGATTTTATTTACTGCCTTATTGGTAGCATCTGTTGTCCCAGTGCAAGGGCTCAGCTGTTTGCTCTTCTTCAAGGAAAGCAGAAAAAAATCATTATCTAGATGGCCTGTGCTGACTTAGATGCTCTGGCTGGAAAGATCTTGGGCTGCATCAGAAGCAGCGTGGCCAGCAGGGCCAAGGAGAGGATTCTCTGCCTCTGCTCTGCTCTTGTGGGACCTCCCTTTGCAGGGCTGTGTTCAGTTCTGGACCCCCAACACAGGAAGGATGTGGAGCTGTTGAAGTGAGTCCAGAGGAGGCCACAGAGATGATCCAAGGGCTGGAGCAGCTCTGCTCTGGAGCCAGGCTGGGAGAGTTGGGGTGTTCAGCCTGGAGAAGAGAAGGCTCCAGGGAGACCTTAGAGCACCTTCCAGTGCCTGAAGGGGCTCCAGGAAAGCTGGGGAGGGACTTGGGACAAGGGCAGGGAGGGAGAGGACAAGGGGGAAGGGATGAAAACTGGCAGAGGGGAGATTGAGGTGAGACATGAGGAGGGAATTGTGGAGTGTGAGGGTGGTGAGAGCCTGGCCCAGGTTGCCCAGGGAAGCTGTGGCTGCCCCATCCCTGGCAGTGTTGAAGGGCAGGTTGGATGGGGCTTGGAGCAGCCTGGGCTGGTGGGAGGTGTCCCTGCCCATGCAGGGGGTTGGATCTGGATGATTTTGAAGGTCCCTTCCAACCCAAACCATTCCATGATTCTATGATTATTTTACCCCTGTGTTTTCCTTTTGACCCAGATTGTTTCTTTCATGCCTTGCCCAGGCGCCTGAGCCCATCCCAACACGGATGGGGTCACAGGCCTTCAGCCCCACACCCAAAAGTTCTTCCTGCCTTTGGGGACTAACAACATCTCCCTTTTTTTTTTTTTTACAGTCTTCTCCAGCAAGAGCCACCGGGGCTGACACTGCAGGTCAAATTGCTCACTGCAGCCACCTCCTTGGCTGCCTTCCTGGCCTGGCTTTGCTGCTCAGGGCATTCCCTGAGGAAGATGAAATGCTGGATTTGTTAAGTGGATTTTGTGACAAATGCAAGTGAAGTGGCTGCAAATACAGGGGGGAGAGGCCACTTCACTGAGGGCACAAGGGGAAGCGGGAAGCATCTGAGATGGGGAGGGGTGATGCCCCACCTGAAATGTGTGTGGTGTGACAGGGAGGTTCCTCACCCCCAGCTCGTGGGAGGAAAATTCCAAACTGGCCCATTCCAACTGAAGGAAGAGGCTGGGATGCTGAGCATGGAATTCCAAAGGTGAATATTTACTCGTGGCCACGAGGTGTCCCAGCCAAACCAGGGCACCTTGAGTGTGGTTTTACACAGGGTTCTCATTCCCTGCCAGTCTGCAGGTCCAGCACCATCAGCCTGCTCACTGACAGCCTGGCTGCCAATGGCTCATCCCAGCAGAACTCTGCAAAGCCTCTTTCTGCAGCATTTCCTGCTGCTTGTCTGTTGAGCCAGGAGTCCCTGGGGCACAAGTCACTGACCTGTGACACCAGAGAGGGCTGGGGGGGCTCCAAGAGGCATCAGAGGGGCTGGGATGCTGCTTGTCATGGGTGTCCTGGGCTGTCCTGTATCCTTCATGGGCAGGTCTGAGCTTCCAGCAGGCAAAGTCCTTCTCTCTGGGACAGGGCTGCCCTTTCCTTTGCTTCACTTGAGGGTGAACATTCAATACCAGAGTCTCCAGTCAAATCCCACTGCCCTTTCACATTACAACGTATAACTGATAGATTATACATATAGATAGATAGATAGATAGATAAATAGATAGATAGATAGATAGATAGATAGATAGATAGATAGATAGATAGATAGATAGATAGATAGATAGTGATAGGACAAGGGGGGGCAATGGGTGCAAACTGGAGCACAGGAGGTTCCATATGAATATCAGAAAGAACTTCTTTCCTGTGAGAGTGACAGAGCCCTGGGACAGGCTGCCCAGAGAGGCTGTGGAGTCTCCTTCTCTGGAGACATTCAAGCCACCTGGATGTTCCTGTGGGATCTGCTCTGGGTGACCATGCCTGGCAGGGGGTTGAACTGGGTGATGTCCAGGGGTCCCTCCCAGCCCCTGGGGTTCTGTGATTGCGAGGCTGACAGGGAAGGCGTCTCTCATGACACCCTCCAGCCTCCATCAGAGCCTCCCCTCCCCAGCATCACTGCTGTGCCAGGGTCCCACGGTCCCCGGAGCAGCCCCTGGGGGGCTCGGGGGGGCTGCTCCG